GATATTTTTATAAAAAAATAATAAATGTCTGCTGAAACACTGCACAAAAATTTTATAGACAGTCATTTTGGTGTCACCCCCTCTGACAGTGTCACCTGGTGTGGTCCGCACCCCTCTAAGTGATGCCATTGACCCCTCAGACCCCTTGAAGGAGATCAATATTTTCAACTCTCTTCCAAGTCTGCAGAAAGTCTGTCATGAATCCCCTGGCCTCTAAACCTGATTGCCGTGCCATAGCCAGTAAATGATAAATTCAACCAATCAAGCAATTAATATTAAATGTCTTCTATATGCAATGATGACATATACCAAAATACTGTAGCTGATCCCCACCCTTAAGATGCCTATAATCTCTCTGTGAGAATAAAGCTAATGCACAGGAAGCAAGTAGAGACTTGCATGGTTCTGATTATCAAAGCCCAGAGAAATTAGTATTTATTGAGCACCAACTACTATATTCTAGATTCTTTAAATGTTTAAATGCAGTACCTTATTTAGTCGTTCAGCAATGACGTGAGGCTGGTGCTTTTTTTTTTTCCCCCTACAAATAAATAAATAAATAAATGGAACCTAGGGGTTAGATAACTTGTGCCCAAGGTCACATAGTCAGTAAACAGTGGAGTGGGAATTTGGGCCCTGCTCTGTGTGACTACAAAGCTTTCATTCTTTCAACTACTCAGACTTAAGGAGTAGTCGGAAGGGGCTGAAATAACCCGGGGAAGCTTCCTGGAGGAGGTGGGAATTGACCTAGGTCTTAAAGGCTGCATAGGATGCAGATAAGCCCAAGCAAGTAGAGAATGAGAGCATTCCAGACTGACTGAAGAGTCTTAGTCAAGCACAGAGGTGTGACTGTGAGGTCTGCTTGCCCGTGGACTTGCTGGACAGGAGCAGAGGTTTCATGGCAGAGCAAAGGAGATTAAGTCAGGAAGGCAGGATGGGGCCAAATGACAGCATGCATCAGGCTTCCTCCTCCAGGAGGAAGAGGCTGCCTCTTGGCCTGTCCATGCCCTTAGCAAAACACCCCACCCTCAAACTCAGGTAATCCACTCCAGAGAGCAACCCAGGTCTTTTTACTCCCATCTAATCCTCCTTCTACCCTATGTTGTCTCCACAGCCACTCTCTCCAAACATTGGGAAGGCCGTTTCTCTCCCCCAGACCTTGCCTCCTATTATAGCTGCCACTGGTCTGCCAACATGCTTTTATGCACGTCAGCATTCCTTTGTGAATCTTTTTCTCTTTCAGCTTTAACCTTTTCCAAAACAAGGACTAAATCTTTTTCTAATTAGGAGTCAGTCCTAAAGTGCCACCCCCTCCATTGAACTCCGAATGTGTACAGGTGATGATGGGTATTTACATATAATTTCTGAATTTGTGACAGTAAGATCACAGTCTCCGTGATTAATATTTCTAGAGGCCTTCAATTTGAGATTCTTAGATTCACATCTGTTGAAATTTCCGGGGACTGTACAAGGTGGAAACCTTCCGCCTTTTCCTAGGGAAATCCCGTGCCTCGCGCAGAGCAGGCAGTCAATACTGGGTGACTTAATTTGAGCCCCCTCCCCCAAGAAAACTTACCCTATCTACTGGAAATAACTCAGCACTGTGGCCAAAACTTGGTAAGCACTCCTAGTACGGAAACCTCAACCCGGCAATGAAAAGCAGTTCTGGCTACATTGGAAAATAAGACAAGCTCCTGCCAAGTAAGTACTTTGCAAACAACAGTAAAAACGAAACGTGTGAACTCGTGACTAGGGTCTATCGGTGCATGTCGGGAAGGTCTCACAGAGCCGGAAATGGAGACTCGAGGACCGTCACCCGTCTCCGAGGAGAAGAGCGTCCCTTTAAGAAAAGACTGGACCAGCTGGCTGCACTACAGCTCCCAGAGATTTCCTGGCTCGCCTCCTGGCCCCACCCCCGAGCATTCGGCCTCAGCAACCCGTGACGTCATAGGATGCTGAAGCTGCCGATTGGCTGAACGACGCAGCTAGGTCAAGTCCAGTCAGAGGAAAGAAGTTTGTCTCCATGTGGAAACCATGTGTCTCTAGCTGGGAGGGGGAGGAGGAGGAGGCGGAGAAACTGAGATCAAGTGATCACAGGGGAACTGGCTGAAATGAAGGCAGAAAGGTTGTGCACCTGAGCCGGCCGGCAATGCCCTTTGCAGTAGTGACCTAAAAAACTTGCACAGCAAACAAAACCTGAGGCGCCGTCTCTAATTATAACAGTTAAATAGCTAGGGTCCCTGTTTCCTTCCCAAAACCAGGAACCTCGGCAATGCTGGAATCCTATCGGAACGCCCAGATCCCTCTCCCTCCCCCAGCCACTGAATGATGTAAGCGTTTCGAAAAGCAGGGCTCTGGAGCAAAACAAGCTCCGCGCGCGCAGAGCGACCCGCAGTGCCCGAGCCCGGCGCACGCACGACCCGCCCCTTGACTCGCGTTATTGCTGTGCACACGCGGGCCGCCGTGACGCGCGGGCATTGTGTGCGAGGAGCAGAAAACAACGGCGAGCGCCGCCACCGCGAGAAGCGCCCCTAATAAAACGAGGCAGATGTAGGGCCCGCGTTTCCCGTCCTGGAGACCCAGACCAGGGAGGGAGGCAGAAAGTGGGGAGAAGAAATCGGTGGGCTGCTCCTGTTTGCAGGGGCGGGGGGTGGTAATGCAAGGCCCGGAGATGGTCGCAAGGAGTTTGCTGAAGAGTCCCCCGCCTGCGTGAGCTGTTGGGGAGGTGACGAGGGCCTGGAGCGCGGTCGCCCAGCCGAGCTGGGCACGGCACAGCGCCCTACGCGCTTGGGGAAATCTGGGGGCCGTTGGCATCTTGTCAAGCAGAGCCAAACAGCGGCTGCGAAAAGAGGCTAGAGAGCTAAAAATACTCCCGCGGGGAGCCGGCTGCAGGAGGGGGTCTGAGGGCTGATTACGCACACGAAGTTGACTTTGGCTGGGGCGCCGGAGCCCCTCTGCGGGGCCGGCTGGCTTGCAGCGAGGACGTCTCGGGAGAGGGTCCGGGAGGACGCCCCCACCCCCACCCCGCCCCGGCTTTCCCGGACCCAGGAGCCCAGCTCCGTCGCCGCGGGGCAGCCCTGCCCGACGCACCCGGCCCTCTGCTTACGTGACTGGTGGCCACGCCGGAGCCCCGGCACGGGGTAAACAAGGAGGTGGCGGCGGCCGGGGTGGGGTGGGGTGGAGATCTCCGATTGTCTGCGGGACGCAGAGGAAGCTCGGGCTGCTCCCTCAGTACACCTCGTGGGGGGCGGGGGGGCAGACCAGGCTCGCCACACACTGCCAAGGTGCCCTCTTGGCTGCACCCCCCGCCAGAGCCGGCGCCACGGGACAGACGCGGGAGAACAGGGGGTAGCTAAAGAAATCGCGCCCTTCCCCCAGCCAACAAAAGCAAACACACCAAACAAAACCACGTCCTCACCCAGCTCCCCACCAGTTTTTCAGAAGCTACCCTCGGGACGAATGCACCCCCTCACCCCCCGCCGTGAATAATCCACAGCCGTGCGGCTACAGAGCCTACGACGCGCCTCGCTCGCAAACCAGGCACTCCGGGAAAACAGGCGAGAAGAGAAAGAAAAGAACCGCCGCCAGCCCAGCAAAAATCCTTGTTTTTGCCTTCCAGTGTCTGCACAAATGCCTGCCAACATACCGTTACTTTAATCCTGGAGGCTGGGGGTGTCGGTCAGCGAAGGTGTTTTTGTGTGTTTGCGGGTTGTTGCTATTGTTGTGTTCTTTTTTTCGGGGGGGGGGGTGTTCCAAGATCTGACATGTTGCAATAGGATTTTTTTTTCTCTCTGGTCTCCTACTTGTTCGAACACAGTAACACAGCCCAGGTTTCTCCTATTTGTTGGTCTGTTTGCCTCGACTCCATCCCCCTCCTCGCAGCTATTATTGTGAGGACCGTGCTGGAGACGCCCGCACACGCGTGCCCGCGTTAGGGCGCTGAGTCGGCTGTCAGGGGAGGGCTGGGGGACCCGGCTGGCAGGAGCAAAAAAGAAACAAACACACACAAAAAGGAGGCCAGGCTGGGGTGGGGCTCCCAGCACCCCCCACCAAAGCATCGCTCTCCACTTGAATGGGGGCGAGGGGTGGCGGTAGAAATCGATCAGGAAGGCGTTTGCCTTCCTCGCCCTGCGCGTTCACTCTGGAGCCGTCTCCCGGAAAATAATGAAACCGCACACAACAGCCTACACCTTTTCCACCAACTATTGTTCCCTGCAGGATCCCAAAGTTTCCTTCTAGCCGTGTCCCCCTCGCCAAGTTTCCCGGGCGCAGGACAGCAGGTCCCAGTCGAGCTGTTGGCGCTGTCTGGCCTCGCCGGCCTAAACATTTTTCTTTGGGTGGGGGTGATGGCACCCCAGGGCAACGGAGGCGTAGAGGGACTGTGTCCGTGGATGCGACGGCCTGAGCCCAGCCATGCTCCGCGAGGGGAAGAAAAAGCGAAGTAGACAGGAGCGAGAGACAGAGCCCGGGCCAGCCCGAGCCCACGCGGTGCAGGGTTGTGTGGTGGTGGTGGTTGTTATTGTTATAGTGTGTGTATGTGTGTTTTCTTTCTGCCACGGCTGAGCTCTCCCCACGGTTTCCAACTTTCAGCTTCTGAATCCCCACCCTACCCAGGAAGGAGCGACAGAAAAACAACACTTGTCTGCCCGAGAAGGCTCCGGGGGAAAAAAAGGAAGAAAGGCAACCTCGAAGAGATGAGCTCTCGCTCAGTTGTCAGCAAACAACAACACTTCCCCGCTCCTTGGCCGGGCCATCCTGCCAGTCCCGGGGAGACTGACAGACGGACGCACCGACAGAACCCCCTCTCCCCCGTTCGTCTTTGTTACATCTTTAGCAGCTTTGTGCGTGCGTGTCCTTTCTCCCGTGTCATCGGCTTTACTGCCGAGGGCTGCTGGATGTGTGTGTGTTGGGGGGAGGGGGTGCGGGCTGAGCAAGCGACAGGGGTCGCGCAAGTCGGCGAGGAAGAAAAAGCCGGGCGCTGAGAGAATCCCCAAACTTACTTTTGTTTTCTTTCTCGATCTGCTCCAGGTAACTGGCGGCCTCGAGCAGAATCTGCACGTTCTGCAGAAAAGTGTTGATGTGCTTCTCCATCGAGTTCTCGCTGGTGTTGAAGATGTCCGAGAAGGGGCACCTGGGTTTGGCACCGGCGGGCTCGTCGGGCTGGGCCGGGGGCTGGGGCGCTGCCGAGGCCGGGGGCACGGCCGGGGGCGCGGAGGGGTCCGGTCCGGAGCTCTCGCAACGCGCCTCCTTGCGCGGCCGCCCGCGTTTGCCCATGGAGGGACAGGGGGTCCGCCGAGCTCGTCCTCTCCCCGGGCTGAGCGGCCCGCTCGAGCGCGAAGCCCCCGGGAGACCCCGCCGTCTGGAGCCGAGGAAGCGCCGGGGCGAGGAGCTGGCCTGACTTCCCGAGCCTCGCTGCGTGCAGTTGTGTGTGTGTGAGTGTGTCAGGCTCGCTGTGGGTCTGTGTGTATGGGAGATTGAATGAACCTACAGGACAGACAGAGGCGCTCTGGCGCCTGGGTCCTAGTGCGAGCCCGCCGGCATCGGACCGGTCAAAATAAAAGGTGGAGACAGGCGAGGCAGAGACCGCCTCCTGCAGGCCCCTGCACCCCACCCCCGCCTCCTCTCCCCAAAATCTTACCACGGTACATTTTAATCGGAATGGAAAAAAATATTCGATGCCTTTGAATACACCTGGATAAAAACAAACTACTAAGATTTTTTTTTTCCCTTCACATAAAAATAATACCTCGTAAAGTGTCCAGCACAATGCCTGGTACATAGAAGGTCCTCAATAATGGTAGCTACTATGATTATTTTTTAAAGATAAAAGCCCAATTCAAATGGGAAAAATGAAACCATTTATATGTAACCTGAAGCTCCTTCCCCCAAGATACACACTTCACACACACAAACACACACACACACACCAGGATAGCATGCACTGTCACATAGCCCATGAAATCCCCAGGTCGCCCAAATCCGGTTACAGATTTACTTGCCCTTTCTTTAACCCTTCAGATGCAAAGTTATTTTCCAGGAAGGGGAGGAGATGTAAGCATCTCTCTCCACACTCCCCCTCCCAGCCTTGGTCCAGCTGTGCAAAGCTTGCAGTAGGGGGCCTCCACACCTGGCTCCCTTTTATTTGACAGAGAGGCAGAAGTGTCAGCCCAGGGACGTCCCCCCCCATCTGAATTCCATCTTTTAGCTCTGAAGACCCCTCCCCCTGTTTTCACTGCTGTTGCTGTCACCCAGTCAGGGTCTATAGCAACCGTGGATGCTTCCAGCCCGGGGGTGGGGTGGGGGGCGTTTTTGGAGTCAGGGGAATAGTTGGGAGCTGCTCTGGAATGCCACAGAGATGGATTCTAGTCCCAGCTCTGCTGCACACAGACTGTCTGAGCTTGGGCAAGTGCCCTAACCTCTCAACCTAAGTTTCCACATTTGTGAGACCTTTGATAAGATTCTTGTGCAATTAAATCATATCTGCACTTACCATACTGCCTGGCCCATAGTAAGATCGTTCCTTCCAGTCCAGACCCAGCCAAGAGCCTGGGTCCCCTATTCTGATATAACTTGCACCTAAGGGGGTAACAAGATGCAGAAAGCAAGACGTTCTGCACTTCCTTGGAAAACATCCCTACAAGTCCATCTAAATATAGCTACCTTGCAAGGCACCTGGAGATGTCCTCCAGTGAAACCATTTACATAGAGGACACAGGGAATGCTGCCCCTGGAGTTGTTCAAGGCAGCCACCCTGCACAGAAGTGCTTCGAACCCCTGCTGAGAATTTGCATTTCATCACAGATATACTGAATCAGAATCTACAGTTTGACAAGATCCCCAGGTGATTCTTATGTATAATAAATTTTAAGAATCACTGCTCTACTAGAGGCTCTCAGAATTGGTCCCTAACCAGCAGCATTAGCATTGCCTTGGAACTTGTTAGAAATTAAAACGAAAATTCTCAGCAAAGTTTCAAACTGGAACAAACTATTTCAAAACTCTGGGCTTCATATGTATTTGTCATAAAGACTCTTACTGGAATTGGGAACTTCTAGAAATAAGGAGAGAAAGTACATTTCTTTGTAAAACACTAAACTTACAGAGTATGTATACATACACACACACACCCAGAGCCTCAAGAAAATCTTTGTGCACTTTTAAAATATAATAACCTACTGCTGAAATGACAGGAACCAGTAACTGGCATTTTAAAGCGAATGTATTCATATTTGGGACCATAATATAATCATACTACCCACCCATGGGAAGGAAGAAAGACCTGGCAATCTGCTTCTGTAAAGATTACAGCCTAGGAAACCCTATAGGCCAGTTCTACTCTGTCACATGGGGCCACTATGAGCTGAAAATGGACTCGACGGCACAAAACAACAACATAACAACATATATTCTCTGCTCATTTTCCATACTGTGACAAATTTTACACGGTTGATCTCTGCATCCTTTGGCTAGGGGAGAATAGAAGCTCCTAAGAGGTGTGAGATAAAAGTTAGGCTTCTAATATCAAAACAATTACTTATTTTGTTTCTATTAGAACCACAACCTGAGTTATTAATTTTTGAAGGTCTATAAATTTTAACAGCTCAGGCTCCTAACCAAAAGGACAGCAGTTCGAATCCACCAGCCGCTCCTTGGAAACCATATGGGGCTGTTCTACTCTGTCAGCATCCACTCGATAGTAATGGGTTTTTGTTTTGTTTTGTTTTTTGTTTTTAATAAATGTCTAAGGACTTAGGCAGGCCTCCTGTATGCAGTTGCAAACAAACTCTATCCAATGCCATTTTGCAGAAACTGGAAAGGTGTGAAACAGGCCTGGCCTTCCTTGCGCCAAATGAAAGATGACAGTGAGACAATGAACCAGCTAAACCCGGGAAAAAAGCTTGCGGTCTCTTTAATCCCATGGAGGACGCACGGGCCAGACGTGCACATATACAGTACTGCAAACCCACATGTATACATACACACACCCACCAAAACAGGCACACCCCTACACAGGAGTGCCGGGGCGGGGGTAGCATGTTTTATAATTATTTATTTATCCCTTTTCTATCTCTCATAGGTCCGTGAGCCTCAGAAAGCCCAGTGGGAATCTTCAAGCTGGGCCACAGATCTAACCAAAGCCAAAATAAACAATGGCTTGAAGAAAATCTACAAAAAAGTGCTGATTTGCACTATTCCCACAGCCGCAGTCCCCCCGCCCCCCATCATTCCCATGGAAAACATCACTGCTGGTGCCAAATCAAGTTTTCCTCCCATCATAGGGTCATTGTTTTTTGTTATTATGTGAGTTCTTAGCATCAGACAATGGCACCACAAGAGACACAGTGGAGGCAGGAGAAACGCCTTTTTGTTTCACAAAGTCTGTGCTATTGTGCCCTCAGGTCCCGCATACAGTTTAGTTGCATATATTCGTTGCAGTAACACGTATGTGGAATGATGAATGTGCCAAGATAAAGCCTGAAGCCCTTTCCTGATTTTTTTCAGAGCCCATCAAGTGTTAAATCATATTAGCATCGCATTGCTTTCTTCTCCTCCCCCTCCCCTCAATTAACAGATTTCTCTAATAAAGTTGGCCCCAACAGAGAGCATGGTGTTTCAGGGGTTATATCACCCGACAGGCATCCAGGATGCTGGGTTACAAGCTCAGCTCCATTCCTGATTAGCTTTGCTTCCCAGGGGGGAGCCATTCAAACCCTTTGCACCTCACTTTCTCCGGGGCTTTGACTCCAGAAGGAAATAGGCCTCTTTGGAAACTTTCTGAGGATTTCTGCAGAGGTGACAGAGAACAGGTAAGGGATGAGAAGGCAGCCACACTGATAAGAACATTTTAGCCCTTTGAAAGAAAGGTATTGACGAGAATTGCCCAGTGAGGCCAGCCACGATGCCTCTGGAATGCCCAAGATTACCTTCAGTGTCCTCTCAGCCTAGGTCTTGCTTTCCCAACCTTCTCCTTCTTTTTTGGCTTATTTGCTTGTTTGGTAATATTTTTCCATTGACTTTGTTTGCATATTAAAGCAGGATTGTTCTCCCTTTTATTTGCCCCTTCATTACCCCCATTCTATACTCTTACATCAAAGGAGTTGTTTTGCCTATAATTATGTCTTTATGTACACAGAGGCTGGTTAATTACTAAGAAGGCAATAGAAGAGTTGCCACTTGCATTCAGATGGGATGCTCTTCCCTCTGACATGAATCATTTTGGTTTTCCTGGGCTCCTTAACCGTGTTCTTCCTCCTTCACCAGCTTAAGTCCACCTCCCCAACCTCTAGCGTCTTCCTGGACCTTGCCAGCATAGCAGGTCAGGTTCTTCCCTGCTCTTTGCTCCATGGTCTTTGTAGTCAGGCTCGGTAAACCCCATCAAGAGATCTTCTGTCCGCTGCATTGTCACCTGAGTCCTGATCCCAGAGTTTCCTAGCCAAGCTTTTCCAGGGCACCTTTCCCTTTGGAAAGGAATTGTCCAGTAATGAGCTGAGGAGCTGGCTCAGAGCCTCCTCCCCTTGGGCCTTTCATCTTGCCTTCATCTGTCAGAAGGGAGGAGAGGCTCCCAGGAAAGCCCAGGAATAGAGGGTTAGGGACTGTAAGACACAGTAGAATGGCAGGAACTTGGAGAAGAGTGGGACCCTGCCTCTCCCACTAGCTCCTCATGCAACCTGAAAAGGACTGACCAGGCCTCATCTAGCCACCCCTCCTGCCCTCACCCCCATTCCTGCATTCACTAGTGGGTATAGTCCTGGGCAGAGGATAAGTAGCCTTCGCCCTAACATTGGAGCTATCCAGGTATCACCTGTTCCTGGGGCATTACCTCTGCTCTCCTGGACTCTGCCTCTCTTCTCCTGGACCTCTGAGGCCACCCAGCCCTTCCTGGCTCAGCCAACTCCTGGGCTTCTCCCATCCAATATTCAGTACTACAGGGTTCATTAGACTATGAGCTCATCAAAGGCAGCTAGCATGCCTCACCTGCCTGGCATCCCTGGCAGCTTGTACCTAGTATAGCACACATGTGGCACAAAACTGGCTCAGGTCAGGAGGATTGCAGGAATGAATGCCCTTTCCTGCCTGGCCAGAGCCTTGATGCTGGCCTTCTGTGGCTTCTTTATGCCAGTGTGGCAAGAGGCATTTGACACGGTCTGCAAAGTTATTCCTGAGTCACTCACATTAAAGTTTAAATATCTAAATGCTGTCTCTGTGGAGAAGCCAGAATTCCATTGAGCCAGATGGTTGAGGTTCCCTTACCAAAAAGTGCAGAGGCTCGCCTGCCCTTTCCCCGTCCTTACCAGTATACAGATCTGGTTGCAAGATGGGTCTTCTCTGTAATAAGATGCCTCTGATGGAGAATTTTCAAAAATCACCAGGCAATGAAGTCAGTGGCCTAAGATCAAACTGGTGATCATGTGAAGCTTATTTTTTCATATCTCCCCACCGTAGGGTGTCTTCTCAGCCCTTCAGGTCCCCAGTTTCTTTAACAACTCCATATTTTTTTTACAATTAATTCAGCAAAAGATTCTAAATTCAGATACATTAAGGTATCAATGACTGACAATAACTTAAATATGATCCTTCCTAGTGGCGTTTGGAATTAAAAATGGCTAGGCCTTAAGCTAAAGGAATGAAATTCTAATGGTGAAATGTCAGGCATCAGGAGAT